CGCTTTTGGTTGGCGAAATTGAAATGACTTACACCGCAGACCACAAAAACCATTCCGCCCCAAAAAGTCTTCCGTTTAGGGAAAATGTATTCCGTTTGCCAGGAATGAAAAAATCATTCCGACACACTTGCTGGAAAGCCCTAAACCCTTCAAGACCCTAGGTTCTAAAACCTTAAACCCTAACACCCTAAACCCTAACACCGTAGACCCTAAACCCCGAAAACCCTAAACCTTATATCCCCTTTAAAGAGACCCTCAATTTTTGGGAAAACGCCCAGGTTGAGCGCGACCAGCAGAAGCCCGGGGGACGCTTGCGCGAGAAGCTGGGCGAGGTCCTGGACTTCCAAATGGAGCTTCCAAGGGGGTCTAGGCTTTAGGGGTTTTAGGGGTTTAGGGATTTGGGATTTAGGGATCGGGGTTTAGGGTTCAGGGGTTCGGGGTTTATAAGGGTTTAGGAATGTATGGGGGTCATATAATAGCCTTTCTGTAGCCCCAGTTGTGCTGTGACAAGGTGACACGCGAGCTTCTGGAGATGCGGAAGAGCTACTCATTGGGTGGTTCCTCCGTCTCATGGTTTGGGGATCCGGGGGAGCATATAATCGAGACTGCTGGCTCGGAGTGGTACGTAAGGAGGTATAGGGCTTAGACCCTTCAACCCCAGTTTTTGGTTTAGGAGTCTGGGGGCTTTAAGGAATCTTCAAGGGATGTAAAGAATTCAGTGTGCTCGGTGCAGGGCCGGCCCTGTTTGCAAAGACCTGGATGCCCTTTGAAGTTCACCGTCCCAACAGGGCTTGTTGACCCCTACTCTTCTTGGTGCTTGGTAGGGAATACGGGAGAATTTAATTCTTTTTGGCCCCTATATAGTTTCGTCCTTATTCTCTACTGACCCCAGAGGGATATGTAGGACTGTGGACGCCCAAATGTCATACTATTGCGTTGTTGAGCAAATAGTTTAAGGAGCATGCAGTAGAACATTTGCAGCATACGGGGTATGGTTAAGGGTTTAGGACCTAGGACTCACTGTGGAGGATTTCGGGCTTGGGGCTTTACGCGGGGTTTCTAAGATCTGCTGCTGGCTGCTTCTGAGGAATTGCTAGCATGCATACAATTCAAAATAGACGGAAAGGGTCGTACTCCAAATTCATGAGCTCATCTGCTACATGGGTATCTTTCAACATCGCAGGGACATGCAAAAACAAGTTAGCCCCTACCTCTGGGATCCTCTGAGAAGTAGAATTACACCCACAAGACAACTTGGAAGATTCTCAACATGAACCCTGAAGATTTTTTAGGATTTGGAGTTCAGGGTTTGGGGACCCTATCCTTTGTGTAATCGCTTTGGGCCCCTAGGGTGCGTACAGGACCCCTGTTTTTACAAAGCCCCAACTACCGAGCATGGGGGATACTGCCGACTTTGGGGTGTAGAAGCTTCATTATGATCAGTATTACTAGGAGAGCCTTGAGCAAACAACAAGAGGTCCCGAGTATATACCTCATAGTTTAAAAGTCTTACTATAGGATTCCCAGAAACTCAACAAGGTTTTGGTCACCCAGAATATCCACCCCTAAAGTGACCTAACACCTGCTCCAGCTGCAAGTGGGCTTGACTAGTTCAACCCCAAACCGGAAATTAAGACCCCTAAGAGGATCTAAAATCAAGATCCCCTATATAAACCCAGAATAACCCCATATGTTCTCTATATGATTACCCATGTTCTTCTAAAGGATCTAATTGTTTGTTCCTCCTTGTGGTTTGAGAAAATCAGGTGAAGCCGCCCGGTCTGAGACCCACTGCCTCGTTTGCTTCGAGGAAGAGACCGCTACCTGGGGAAATTAATTTCCCCCCCCTTACTTTCAAAGACGCCCCAGCCCTTCAAAGTTAAGTCTGCCCGTTTTGTTATGTAAACAAATGTATATATATATATATTTATTAATGTACATACATACATTTGTATACGCTCATATATGTATATATATATACACATATTGTGACTATTTGAAGAATCAGGGGGTTGAGGGTGTGGATATTGGGGGAAGGTGATTAATGGTGTTCTTGGTTTTGGTGAGAAAGCAAACCTAAAACGACGGGTTACTTCTGCACACGTCCGAAATGCCCTTGACATCTGCATCCCTACAGCGCCTAAAATTGATCTAAGCGCACCCCTAGTCTTCGGCTGTAGCTTTGGTGCTTCAAGAACAGCATAGGTCAAGCTTCTGAAGACGTTCTGCTGCAAAAAGTATGTGGTGTGCAGAGATTGCTACGTGCAGCTCCATCATAGTGACCAGCCTAATTTGCGGCGATGTCCCCAGTGCCAACAGCCAAACTTTAGGGCTGACAGCCCGCGGCGGCACTGCATACGGGACGTCGCCCGCCCTGGTAGATCTCGCTCGCGAAGGCGCAGCTGAATCGCGCACAGCAAGAATTAAGTGCAGAGGAGTCTGCCCCCCTGTACTGCAACGGCCTGATCAAGTTCCACGCCATTTTAACGCAGTTTCTCAGCACAATGCCCTGTCCAGTGTCAAGCATGTACTAAACTGTATTACGCTATCATGGATCTTGGATTTTGCCATACAGGGTGGTGCAGGGGAGCGCAAAGCCCATAGACAGTCATGTTTTGGCTCCGGGGCCCTCGTTCACGAAGGATTCCTGGCAAAGAGATGCATTGCCGCAACTGTCGCATCAAACAATCGGACCGGGCAGCACATCTTTTCCTCGCGGATGCAGCCAGTTGCGCTAGTCATGGAGTATGGGTTACAAATTGTCCATCTATTCTAGGGGTTAGGAACTCCATATGTAGTCAAGAGGAGGTTATGCTGGACTACCGCTTTTTCCGATTTACAGAAAGCACTTCCGTAGTTCGGAGGCTTACGGGAGCTTATGATGTGAACATTTGCTTTGGGCAGCTTGCGGTTGACAGATATTAGGTGGACCGCTCACCCAGTAATTGTGACTGTTGGGGATAATGGTGATTTTCCTCGCTTCTTTATATATGTCTAGTATACCGCTAGCAGGGTCGGGGCCACGTATAAGATACCCTATACTCTAAACCTCAAATCCTGAACCCCAAATCCCAAACCCTAAACCCCAAAGCCTAAACCCTAAGGGGATGCCATAAGCCTGGCCAGCCCTTGCTACTCGTCCAGACAGGGACGAAGTACTGGACATCATAATGTCGACCCGGGATGTATAAAACTCCTCCTTGTAGGATTTGGGGTTTATGGTTTAGCATTGAGGGTTTAGGTAATTTAGAGCCTTAAGATTAGGATCCGATCATAATCCGTATTAAGCGGAGGGTGTATATTAATCGGGGTCTACATTGATCAAAATGCCGTCGCTTCATACTAGTAGTTACCACCCCACGCCCACCCCCCAACCCCCCCACTTTATGCTACGTATTCAAGTATTCCCCGTAAGAGACCTCATTTATTGGGAGACATATTTAATGCTAGGGGTGGGGGGGGTCATTAGTATGAAGTGACTACGTCAGTACTAGGTTGCACCCATACCTACTTGTCACACTTGCGCCAAGAGAGAAGGAGCTCGCGCCTTGGCCTTATGAAGAACTCCGTAGGGAAGTTGCCATAACCCTACATGGCCCTTGTACTTCCCATATAAACCTCGCCCCTTTGCAGACTTCCCTCCAGCAACAGCCCTTGATCTCAGGAAAGTCAAGCTCCAGACCAGCAAGCCTTGAAAGTATTTTCCTCTGGAATAGCATGGAAGTTCATAGTCGACGGAAAATTCCCAGAAACCTCCCAGTAGCCCCATTGAATGCAGGTAGAGTGCCGCAATCTGAAACCCACCTGAGTCCTACCTGCTGAACCCTGCTAATGCCACCAGGCCTTGACGCAGTGCACGAAGCTGGATGGATTTAGCAGTCTGGCAAGTCGTCCCTCCCAACGGCTCTATCCAGATGGCATCATGGCTTGGAGGATTTTCGGGACCCCTTAAGGGGGCTTGTAGGGAGAGAGAGAGAGAGAGTCAGATATATATATATGTGTGTGTGTGTATGTATAGAGGATCCTGTTAACAAGCTTATGGGTATTCATAGGGTCCCTTTGATTAAAGGCATACACAGGGTGAGGGGGTAAGCGGTTTACGGTTAGAGGTTAAAAAGTTTGTCGTTTGGGGCCTTCATTACCCTGAACCCCTAAACATTAAACCCTGGGGGGGGATGGGTTTGAGTGAAGAGGAGGGGTGCTGGCAAGATTTTAGGCGTGGCATAATGCTCCCCCAAACAGATGGAGCCTGATAGGAGCTCCCTGGAAGAGGCAGAAATCCACACAGGCCCTTTTCGGGTTCTCTGCATTTAGGCAGGGTAGGTTTCCCGAGGTCAGGGGCTCAGGGTTTTGTTGGACATGAACGACACCCTATACTCCAGATGACGGTCATCATACAATGCTACACAAGACATAAGGTCATGAACAAAGGAGTTCAGCAGCTAAGCAGGAAAGAGAGAGAATAGCAGCGCTTGCTCAGTCACACCTCAAACCCAAAACCCTAAATGCGACCCTGAATGGTTGTTGTGGTGGCGGCAGTGGCTGTAGGGTCAGTGGAGGGTGGACTTGCTGCATAGTCCCTCTAAAGTAAATATGATATGAAATTGCCCAATATACTAACAAAGATCCCCATGAGTCCCATATTCTATTTCCTTAATGAGTTTTGTAACCAGTATCAAAAGAAAAGGCAGCAGCTATCGCGAATGCAGACAGAAATCCTGGTCCCAGTACCACAAAGACTCGCTTCAAGGTCCTTTCAAAGGGGGTTCCAGAGGTTATGCAGGGATAAGGCTGATATAGGAACAGCGGAGATTCAAACGGAAGAGAAGCTGAAAAATCAATTGGCAACTGGACCGGCCGAAGTAAACACTAACATCATGGTCCCAGATTCCTTGTATAATTTTAAGCATAGGGTACCTCAAATAGACTTCCATGATATTAATACTTATTTCGGCCGCTGTATTCGACTTGGCTGCCTGGCCTTAGGAAACCTGCTTCCTGACTCTGTGGGATGGGAGACTCTAACGGAGCCTGGTCCCATCCGCCAGGCCGGAGGTGTGATTCGTACGAGCAAATTTGACCACACGGTGTGTAGGGTTTCGGGGTTGGGGGTTTAAGGGTTACCTCTGGTTAACAGGTCATGAAGGAAAGGAGGCAACAAGGAAATGTTATGATGGTGTACATAGGAACTGCTGTGAGGCTCATGCCTTACTTCGTTGCTAACTGTGGTGGTAAGCAAGGGAAGGACAAGGATTTTGCCAGGATTCTGCGACTTCTCCGTAAGATGTGACTGCATCTCCTGGTGAATCGAGGGGGTCGAATAGGAGATTCAGAGACTCAGTGACTGCTTCCAATAGGGGGCTACAACCCACGTGATAGTTCGGATAGTTTGTGTGAGGGCAGTCAGGTGAAATCATAAGTACATCTGTAACCCCAGAAAGAGTATAGTCCCCCTTAAGTAGATAGAATATAGGGTATATGGGGATCTTATTATAATATACCCGAAACCATCTATCTACTTAAGGGGGACTATAATTTCAAATAAGCTCAAGTAGGATGCACCGAGCTTTTGCCTCTCAGCTTATCCCTTCTCTAAAGCACCTGCCCCCCTTTCCAGCTTCTAGGCTTCTGTCAGAGGATAGAATATTACCCTAGGGTCTAGGGGTTAGGGGTTTAGGGTTCGGGGTTCAGGGTTTACGGTTCAGGGTTTAGGGTTTACGTGGAGAATGACATGCAAAAGAAAGATACTGTGGTGAGGTTTCTTTTCCTCTCAGTTCTCATGTTTTCACATGTTTCTGAGTGCAGAGCAATGCTGTATCTGCTCTACTTGCTGGCCATTTGGTTTAGGGCAAAATCATGGGTTTCTCTACTCCCGCCCTCACCACCATACTACCCCCTTGGGTTCTCCCTTAGTTAAAGTTATTCAGGGATAGTTAGAGCTAAAAGCTAGTCAACCGCAAACTTAGGGGGGTAGTAGGGAAAGGGTTCTAGTCTTGCAGTATCCAATACTTGCAGGTTCAGTGGGAGTCAGCAAATAGGTGAATAATCTTAATATTTTGATCCCATAGAGTAATCCTATTTATCCTAAGTATTTAGCTACTCTACTACTCACTAAGTCCCCCTGACCCTCCAAGTAGGATTATGTGCACCTAAAACTGAGAACTGATAATCCCTGTACTTGGGGGCTCTCCTCACTTACTGGCTCTGCCTACTATCCTCCATCATCATCCCCATACTTGGGGGTCAGGGGGGCTTCCTGAGAATGTAAATTACGGGGATAATGAGGGATATCACATGGGCTACAGGGGTTATCAACCTACTTACTAAGTCTCCCTGACCCTCCAAGTACCTTCCTCAAACTAATGTGGAACCTGAAAAAGGCCCCAGTGGAGACAATTCTCGATCCTAAAAGTGGAGCTAGAGGTGGTTTATTACGTCAGTTTGAGCAAGGTAGGCCATATTTCTTTTGAGATTCAGGGGTTTAGGGCCGAAGAAGGCCTCAAAGTACGGTAAGCAATGTACAGAGCCCAGACCCTCAACATGTGTCCTCAACGCCCTTGTCCTCTATGCCCCGTATATGACCCATGTACATTCCCAAACTTCTATTCTATAGCCAAATGTCAAAGGTCCAGGATGAGCTTGAGCAGCTACATGCGACGCGGCCGTGAGTAGCTTTTAAAGCTGGAGTTCCATGTTTTCATCCCAACAGATTGGTTGGGGGCTCTTTTGACTAAGTAAGTCTACACACTATCGCCAAGGGCCCCCACGGAAGCCCCATAGCCCCAATTACGAAATGGGCCCGCTCAGTCAAGAGCGCCT